ACCGTAGGGGACATTGTTAATTGCCTCAAGCTTTTGGAAGGCGCGCAATCGTTTGTTCTCCCCCCCTCTCCGCGTCTTCAATAATTAAAAAAAAAAATTATACATTTGTTAAAAGTATACATTTTGTCTTCGGGGTTTCCCTAATATTGTTTGAACAGACAGTCCGCTTCTTTATATCAATGTGCTTCCTCATTCGTTGTGGGCGACCGAGCTGCAGGTTGTAAACAACCTAATGACACATACACGCACACACACACACACCATTAGTAGTAGAGTCAGTGACAAAAGCGCCGCTTGCGCATACACGATTGACTCTCCATTCCCCCTTCCCCCGTTTTCACCTACAACGCGCACACACACAAACACACACCATTAGTAGAGGTGTCAGGCGACGTGAGAAAAGGTTTTGAGCATCTAAAGGCTGCCAGGCCCCGCGTTTTGTAAGTGTAAGCATGACGTGGCCCCCCTAAACCATGATGTGGTCACGTGACAAATATCCCCGTTAAGTTCAGCGGTGAAATCGACATCGCAGTCTCAAGTCGTTGTGTGGCGTCATGCCATGACGTCACGTGGCTTCAATTTTCCCTTTAAATTTAGGGGATAAATTTACGACCCGCCATCTGACGTCACTGTGTGAAGTTGTGGTGTCACATGACCACATAAATCAGTGACGTTGCATCAGTGACGTTAACGTCCTCGCTAAAAACAGCGGGGAGACGCACGGACGGACGAACACATATCCTTTGGCTAAGCATTTTATGATTATTGATTATGATTTTATGATTTATAATTTATTATGGCGACAACGACATTTCTGCCAGTCCTACCGGCAGAGGACTTATGTCATCGAAACGGGGCGTCATCAGGCGTGCTGGGTGGGGCATTTAGTTTTTGTTAATAAAACCACTGCGCAGGTCCGTTGGTTGTAAAGTGAGACAATGAATCGAGTTCGATAGGGAACGGGGATGTATATATCGGGCCACGCCCTGCAGTTTCTATCCTGTCGGTAATTGTAGTAAAATGCATGTGCCCCCCCCCCCCCCCCAAAAAAAAAAAAAGAAAAAAAGAAAAGTAAATAATTACAATTATTTTACCGAAAACGTTATGGCCTACCGTTGCAAGTCGCTAGCCGTAAGATGGAATCTAATAATTTATTGTAACTTACACGATTACTCTATCGATATTGCAGACAAACGCAAGATACATGCAATGTCGGGTAGTTTTTTTTAGGATGGGATTTAATGCCTCGTCAAAAATAAAACAAGTAAGAATATACTCGAAACTATGTATTCTTTATTTTTTCTTAATATTTGGAGAAAAAATTGTAAGAAATACGAATCTACCTGGTCTAGTTTTTGAGATAAATAACTAATTTGCTTTGAAACCGATACAGCATTCAATTAGATTGGCATAGGGGAAATACACTTTGGCGTTTCATTTACATTTACAAACAGTGGTGGAGGCGTTCGAAATAATCCAACTTCAGCGTCGACGAAATGAAAAATACAGTTTCCTTGAAGGTGTGTATTCGTACTTTCTGATGCATGTTGTCAATAATAATTAATACTTGTATTAATTAAAACTGCCATGGCGGTGAAAACAAGATGCATTTACGTGCGGGTTCGTTCCGAAGATCGGTGCTCGGTGATGGTTGCTATGCGATCGGAGGACCCATTTAAACTTCCCTCTAGCTCACTAAACTCACAAAAAAAAAAAGTGCTTCACACAAAGAATGAATGGGCTAGCTTACAGTTAAACTATGCCGTTTAGGAATTACCTAGAAGTTTTGTTGTCTGGGATAAACAGGTATCCACGTCTATCGCAGCTTCACAGCTCCCGTATTCTTCCTCTGGTCCAGTGCGCTTGCCACACACTGGTTATTTTCGGAAAAGTCAGGGCGTCTTCCCTTGCCCAAGCTCACGAGGACCCGACTTACAACTTGAACTTACTCCAAGTTTTTAATTTCAAATTATTTAGGGCGCTTCTTCAAACGCCGTTGGGGACCATTTGATTGAACGAAACAAGGAACGACAGCAGTGAATGTGGTTTCCTGCCATATGCTTTAACGTCCTCATCGCCCACAACGTTTCTTTAGATAGTCATAAATGAGGCTTAACTCTATTTCGGGCCGTAGTATGCACCATAGCCAAAATAAAAGTTCTAGTCGGTGACATTTTCAAACTTTTTCTCACTTTTCAAAACGAGGAACATGCGCCTGCTGGGCTGCGAAGATTGCTCGCTGGGTTGTAATATTCAGAACATTAGTATGGTGTGCAATTGTATACTTCTGATTGAACCAAGTTCTTTTTTTGATAGCATGTAGTGTTTTTAATTTGTTTTAATTGGGTAAGATAACCTATCTTTCGTACGTCTCAAACATTGCGATCTCCATTGGGCATGATGTTTCGCCTGTGAAGTTCCCTAGAGGGAGTCATATTTCTCGGTCCAAGCGTATTTAGTGCTTCGTCGCTTGGTAAACTCTCCGAAGACCACCGACACAAAGCTACCTTTAACACAGTGTTTGGAGATCCCAGTCGCTGTAGAGGTGTTTCGGCGTAATGAGGGCAAGTTCGGTGGCGCCACATGCTATATGCGAAGGAATTTTTCTTGTACTTGCCACCTGTAGAGCAAACCGATTGGCTTTCCAAATGCTCCGTATGAGGAACTCTGAAAAATTAAACTTTTTAAGGGGCAACAGTAGGGTCATTCGGTTTCCCTGCACCAACTTATACCGGCGAAGAAAAAAAAAGGTATCGCGGTAATGAAAAGTGCAGAGGATTGTACTTTTTGTAAATGTTGTAAGGTATGCTCCACTCGTAAATTTAATATGGAGATGTGAGGCCGGTGCTGTTGGTGCAGGAGGTGTAGCTATATCAAACGTAGCAAGAAAGTAACTGTGTATACATCCTTCCATCGCACCACCACGGCACCAACTCGGCGATTGAACTCGAGCCCGACGGCGAGTGTGCTTTTATCCGCTGAGTGGACACGGATCTTAGCCGAACGATGACGCATCATTCGTGTCCAACCACAGCCCGCGCTGAATCGCAGTGCGATGTCGTCAACATTTGAGTGCACAGACCTCCCGTCTAGCTGGTGTTGCAATAAACGGAAACCGACGCTCGTAATTTTTTTTTTTTTTTGTATGTGGTTTTAAGGATTATTAACGTGTTTAAGAATAGCGAGCGAGAAGATTTGCGTACGCAAATAAATATTGGGGAAGACACTAATTTTTTGCGTGCGCAAAAGCTTTTGCGTATACGCTACTCTAAGGTAGGGTGCCTACATCTTTCCGCTGAGCGGAGGAAACATGTAGGCACCCTACTCTAAGGCTTGCTGAGAGCTCGTTCCCGTAAGCTGAAACTTTGTTGCGCCAGTGAGGAAACAGCCCATAGAGTGCTCTGGCTTTCCTTTTTTGTTAGCCAGGCAAAACAATACTTTCTGAATACTCAGGCTTTGCTCCTCTCGGCACGCTATTAAGTGTCTCTAAATTCAGACATTCAAATTTCGCCACGTTTACTATTGGCGTGACAGGACATGTAGAAAGATGTTGAGATAGCGCAGGCAGTATAAAACAAAGTACGTTGCGTTTTTTTTTTTTTTTTTGTTTACGAGGAAGTGCTGGAGTTGAATACTGCGGAAGTGTTCAACGCTGAGGAAGCTTGAATGCTTCCGCGGCATTCAACTCACACAAATAATGTTCCCGTAAATTTTCGGGAACAAGGTGTACTTCCGTATTAACAAACATGTGCCAATATCTCTTTTCACATCCCCTGTGCGTCCATTGAAATATTTTATAAAAAAATTCGGTGAGAACAAAATTAAAAAGTTAAGCGACTTAATTATTTGGATTACCAGCTCAGGTGTGTCTATTGGTGTGGTGATTGAATTCTGAAGTAAATCGGCGACCATTATAGGACCCCCGCAGCTCCCATCACACACTTCCGGTTTTGAGCTAGACAATATTTTGCAGTATTCGCTACATGAAATCTACGAGGTGCTATCTCAAAATTTCAAAAGCCAGCTCTACAATAAATAAATAAATAAGTAATGTATATTTCATTCAAAGAGAACCCCTTGTGCAGCACTACAGCGCTTCAGCTCTTTTGCTACCATTAGAAAGCTCCTCGACAGACATTTTCTTGAAGCGTGCCATGTTCTGCGATTCGCACTAGGTTGCGTTCACGGTTTCAAAACGGCGACCGTTCATACGTGAGAATTGCCTGCACTGTTCCGTATGAGCCGTGCCCTGCCCTGCCCTGTTCGGCGAAGTGAACAACCTCCTGAATACTAACCCGACGATCCTTTTGCACAATCAGTTTCCAAATTATGCGAAAAGTTTTAAAGGTTGTGTTTCCAGGAGCTTTCCCCGATCTTTCTTCGTCTTCTGATGGTGTTATGCCGTTCTTGAGGGACGAATGCCACTCAAAGCCCTTCGCACGACTCATTGCTTTTTGATCAAAAGCTTTAAGAATTATTTCAAAGGTATCTTTTTTAGATTTTCCATGTTCAGCGCAGAATCACATGTTTGCTCTTTACTTATTTGCTCTGGTTTCCAATCCACGCTGAAATCTTCAATATGCTCGTGCCCGTGGTCACGAAGATTCGTGCAGCGCGGCTCCAAATATACACAGGACGACGCCCCCTGGTGCTATGACAAATGAAAGTCACTACCCATGTAACACTGAGAGAAGGGCCGAAGGCTGGACATATTCCCATGGCTGAGTAAACTAGTTTAGGAACATTTTGATGGTACCTGGCATGTCCTATATTCGAGAAATTGTCGCATATAATATTGCCAGAACTGTTTCACACCTAGATGCAAAGAATGATGCTTATCATATTATTAAATATACGCAGACCGGAAGTGCGCCAGCACTGTCCGATTAATAACATGACCAAACTTGTTGGAAAAAAAAGGAAGAGGAGGGGGGGGGGGGGGGGCGAGGAAGGGGCGTATCCTGCGGACTGCGATTCCCAAAGGAGTCGGCGCCAATGAATATGGCAGTGAAGGCACTAGGCCGAATTTATTGTAAATTAAACAGAAGTAGAAACGAAAAAAAAAGTTAGGATATACAATATCTTTGTTCATTAACGGTATATAAGTACCATATATTTGTTTAGAAAACACCTACACAGAGATTCTACAGACACAAGTATAACTTGTAAATATGACATCAAAGTAATCATCGTCACCAGTGCGGCAAGCTCGTAGCAAATACGGGTACAGAAGGCACCTCCCTACAGGTGCTGCGAAAGCGATGCGTCTCATTTGCGAAGCCCCTAACGGAAGTCGGAAGAGGGGTGCGGGGCTCGGGAAGCGCCTCCCGCCATCGCGTCCTAGGTAACGAGGCCTTGGTGCTGAATTCTGTCACCAAACGGAGGCCAGGGCGGAGTACAGATTGAAAGTGAGTGCTGGGTCAGTGTTCGGCAGGGACCAGTGTACCATCAGTGAGGACACGAGGCTCAGCCGGACGGAGACATAACACTTCTGTCTAATCGGTGCTCCGCGTTGGCCTACTATGGATGACGTAGTGAGGGCAGCACTAGGGCCTCGTTAAATAGGAGGTGTTGGGCCCCTGCCCCGAAGATTCAGTTCAGTTGAAATGCATGTCCACGAAGTGCTGGCGGTCCTTGAAGGTGGGACCCCAGGGGTTCCGTGGTTGCTCGGTCTTCTTCTGGTCGGTGGAGCTGTTGTTCTTGAAAGGGGACTGGGGGTCCTTAGAGAACGACTTGAAGCCGGACATCTTGCGGCTTTCGGCTTCGAAAGTCGCCTTTCTGAAATCAGAAAGAAAAGAAGGGGAGAAACATCTTAATATGGATGTACCACAGCAGTGAACAGGAGGTGCCTCGGTTGACTGAAGAAATTGTACATGTTCCGTTCAGTTACTCTAGGTTGGCTGCAAATACGCGCAGCTGGTGGTAAGGAAAGGTCACGCCACCGAACGGTTGGACACAAGCGCTGCGTCGGAGTTGGGAACGGAGCTCGGGCGTTTAAGCACGGGATCGGGTCGAATGGCTGCTTCCGGGACTTCCTAGGCCCTAGTAGTCAGAGCTGGAAATGGCACTACCTAGCTCTAAATAAGGGATAGAACGCTAACGCAAGGCTGCATAAGTGCAAAGTTACTTTAAAGTTAGTACTGCATGAGAGCTGTGCCTAAACTTCGTTTCCTCTTAGGATCGACCGCGTGAAGACGCTACGAACTACCAAAGTCAATCAAAAGTCTCACGCGAGTCACATGACCTTTGGGAGGAGCACAGGTACAAGCGCGGGCTGCGAAGTCACGTGACACGCTCACAGCGCTCGAGTGGCTATGATGGCACGTGCCGTCCACTGCGGTCCATTGTAAGGTGCGGCGGAGTATATATACTGCTGTTATGTATGTCTGAACCGACATTCAAAATTAAAAGCTATTCTGCGTAAGATGGCGCTACCTGTTAAACAGATCTTCATTGCTCGGTGGGTATGGTGGAAACATGAATAAACGGATTCATCTGGAGCCCGAGATTGTGTCACGAAAAGTGAAAAATAAAGATAAGCAAATAATTTTTTTTAAATTATCTCCTGGATGTACGTTAGAGTAGAAGTGGCGGAAATGTACATTTTGAAGCCACTAATATTCCCAAGATCCTTCCTTATCAGCGGCGACTAATGAACGTAAGCTTTTAAGACAGTGTAAAAACTCGTTGCCATTTTTAATTTTATTGATATTTTAAAATTTTTTATTCGTTTTATTTTACTATTGTACTTCTAGATTAATATATTATAAACAAAACTAGAATTTAAATCTGCAAATAAGACGGTCCCATCCAACGACCGTGTGTTTTGCATTGCTCTATTATGACGCAGCGTCCTTCGTCAGATGATAAATTCTTAAGAACAATATCCACAAACCAATATAATGAAGTTTTATTTGCCCCAAACTTTCATTGAACAGAATAAAGAAAAAATATTCCAAATTTTAGATTTCGTCTTTTAATAAACGCGGAGCTCGCGCATTATTAGCACCCCTTTTTTTCTCTCTTCTCTCTCCCTCTCTTTCTCTCTCTCTCTCTCTGTCTCTCTTATATGAAAAAATTGTGTTCTCAAGACACTTAAAGGGAAGCTACGGAGCTTCTTGGAAAAAATGAGTTAGAAGTGAATTCTAGTGTATTTTTACCCCGTGAACCCGAATACCCAAACCATTTGCTGCGTAAGTATTGTTAAGTGCGAGAAAACGCGAAAAACAGTCGCTGTCCGTGACGTCATCGACGGATCTTTTGGCTGCCCAAGGCTAGGGGGGCGGGGCTTCAGCCCTATTTTGAAATTGCTATTGTGGCTCTCCGGCGCGTCGCATTGAAATATAATTTTGATATCTGTTAATCTAAAGGCCAAATGAACGCAATTCAAGCGTTTTTTCTCAAATGTAGAAGTGCCCCATCTTCCCTTTAAATGCACGTCTAAGAAATTGAGAAAAAAAATGCAAATAGGCTCAACCAAAAATAGGAAATGTGCTATGCTCGAAGTATTCAGCAGCCCATTCTCGGATTACCTTGTGGGCGCCGCCATTTTGGAGCTTAGCGCAGAGTGGGCGCACCTGGCGACAGTTACGATAAAAATGGGACTGCCTCAGATGTAAAGACGCTGTCAGGAAGTCCGGGCGGTATCGTTTTCCTCTCTCTAGGGTTGTCCTGGCATCTCTGAAGGATCGGAAAAAGTTTTTTTCGCGATATCAGATCCGCATAGTGGTTTTATGCGGAACGTACGAACGAAGGTATACGGTGCCCTGAACGCGTCTCGGACCGGTGTGTTTAGCGCCCTTGATCGCCAATGCTTCGATATATAATCCCGACCCGAAGTGGCGACAAATGACGCCACAAAAGCCGGAGTGTCATGCTGTCGGATGTCGCGATCCTGGCGGTTGGACGTAGAAGTTTTGGAAACAAAATAAGCAGAAGAGGATGCGAGTTTCGCTGTCGTGGTGGCGTTCAAAATCCCGGCTGCTGAAGCTTCCGTGGACTGCCAGGGTAGAGAGCGACCTGCAGCTGAACAGGCGTCTTAAGTCCACTTCCTCTGCTGTGTGGCACAGCAGAGGAATCGCGGACGGCAACAGCGGGAAGTTTTTATGACGTCATTGGGCAAAAAATCGAAGGACTACATCTAAGACCGCGGCAAAAGACACCAATCGCAAACGCGTTCCAGTCTCAAAAAAAAAAAAAGACGCAAACGAGACATTTGGACAGAAAAGCCGCTTACCGTTGGGGAATGGCAGGAGATTCGCCGGGGCGCATGATGAGGGGAATTTGGAACGGACGACCAAATGGACGAAAGCTTCGCACCACTCCGAGGGAGAGGCTCACTGCTGCAGCACGGCTGAGGACGACTCTTCGACGCACACCTTCACAGAAGGCAGATGTTCCTCGGAAGCTAGTTGACTAGCCGGGACCGATTCTGCGAGAGACGGGGGAAAAGGGGCTACGGGTCAGCTCCCAACGCGCCACTCTGCGTCGGGAAACAATGTGACTGATTCGAGCCAGCAAGACCACTCTCTTTTGCACCGTACGTCTGCACTTCTCTCAGGCTGTGGTCACAAATCTAACGCGCCATACGAAGCACAGTCCACGGACACTGTCTGAGGAGTAATTGTCTCCTTTATATGTTTCGCGGAATTTTCCGCTCCCCCCGGGGGGGGGGGGGGGGGGGGGGGGGGGGAAGTAAAAGGCTAGGTGCCTGATAGCAGCGCAAAACAACAAAGATGACCCATTGAATATAAATAAATGTTGCGGTCCACCAAAGCGATTCAAAACAAGTCAATGAACAGAATATTTGCTCAACATTAATTACAATTTCACGTATCATTAAATATATATATATATAAAGGAATATGTGCAGATGAATGAACCGTACTTAATCCAATGAATCAGAGAATCCAAGTTTTCAGGAACCCGCCGAAAGCCAAAAAACGGCGGAGCCAGGATCCTGGCTCCGCCGTTTTTTGGCTTTCGGCGGGTTCCTGAAAACTTGGATTCTCTGATTCATTGGATTAAGTACGGTTCATTCATCTGCACATATTCCTTTATATCCTCCTCGGAGACCACGTACGATGACGTGAAGTGCCCGTGTTGTGTATATATATATATATATATATATATATATATATAAAGAAACTGCACATTGAAAACTACAGAACATGTCTCCGTTGAGCAATATAATAAATGCGAGTATGCTACAACATTAAAATCATCCACAAGACAGTGGCCTTTTAAATAAAAGGAACAAAAAAGAGAGAATCTGTCACACTTCAACATCAACAAACCAATGAAAGAAATTATACACGAAAAGTAAAGCGCCTGTATATACATCATATAGCTCACACAGAAGGAATAAAAACACTGAAATAAACGAGTTTCAGAGTCTTCGCAGTCCTTATCGACAACGGAGCTGGAATTCCAGGCGCCAGAGTTATCACAGAAAAAGCCTCCTTCACTTTTCTTCTCCCTCCAGAGGGAATTAAATTCAGCTATCTTTACCTTTATCTTTTTCTACGTAGTATCTTTTTTCTAGTATTTTCGTCTTTCTTGATTTCCTCTGTGACGAAAGTGGTTTTCGTAGCGTGATGAGCATCATATAAATATGTCGTTGCTCGTTGAAACAACTGTGAGTGTCTGTGCTTCGTCCATTTCAATGTTTTTATTCTTTCAGTGTGAACTAGAGTTTATCCAACGCGCTCTGCTACGCGTACTTATACACAAAAAATATACTTTTACTGAATGCCTGACAATCGAAATAGTCACACTCTAGCTCTACGCCTTCCATCATCGTGTTTTTTTTGTGTTTAGTTACGTTTCCCAGCTTGTTATTCTGTCGCAATCAGACATGCCAGAGATGTTGAAAACGCTTGCCGTCTCGTTCTTTCGGGCAAACATTGTCAATCCGGAAGACCAGACGAACTTCAATTTTTCTTTGTACGGTGGTTCCGTCACGCTAGTCGTACAAAACCCGTCTGAAGACGTGTTCTAAGATGTATCGAGCAAACATTTCTTCGAACCAGCGTGTCCGCAGAGAGTTTTGTCATTGTGCCTGCAGCGAGCACCCTGCCCTCTTCTGTATAATGTAGGAGCAATGTGACGGCGGCTTCGTGCACTTAATGCGGAGCGCAAGTTCGTCTGCTTTTTGCACACGGGTGGCGGTGACGTCAGAACGACGAGCTCTGATTGACTCTAACGGAGGAATAGCGTTTAGAGCTCAATGCTAGCTTCCCTCAGGTCTACCCACTACCTCTCCAATCGGAACCAATCGGACCTCGACGTTCTGAAGTCACCGCAACCCCTGCGCATAAAGCAGACCAACTTGCGCTCCGCATTGAAGTTCGCTGTTTCAGGAGCGTTTTGGAAGCATTCTATTACGGGGTCGACGTCTCAAAATAGATGCATCTTTCAGAGTCGCGACTCACTGAAAATGCGTCTCGCTACCTAACCATCCCGTTAATGTTGTTGTCGGTTTCTTTCTATGCGTTTCCAGAAAAAGTTTTCTTTTTTTTTTTAGTAGCAGTATTTGATCAATTTTGGTGTTTAAAAAATGATTTTTTGAAAGCTCTCTCTCTTCAGTCTGCTTCTCCAGACTTTCTGGGTTTTCTCTGTTTTTTTTCCCTTTGTTTCGGGGGGGGGGGGGGGGGGGGGGGGGGGGGGGGGGGGGGGGGGGGGGGGGGGGGGGGGGGGGGGGGGGGGGGTGTTTGCGCTTTGCGCAGCGCCTACAACCGGTGTGGACCAACCCGAACTTGTTTGTAAACATCGTGTTTGTCTGTAAACAGTTGGACGTCTTATGCGCTCGATGAAGTCTGCTTTATGGTTGCCGGCTGCAGGAAAAGGGTTATATTGAGGACGAGAACATTGATGTCCGAGGGCTGGATTCCTACATCATCGTTTTGTGACTAGGCAAAACGTTATTGATAGCGTCTACATGCTCCCGCTTTTAAGTAGCCGAGCCGGAAGAGAAAAGGTTTCATCCACACACGTACGTTGCTTTCTGAATACATGTGTTACCCCCACCTCCCCCTTCTCGGCTACGCTCACGCGGAAATCATCTTCCGGGTTGGTCTCCTATAGTTCTGCCCAGAGCCTTTTATAAAAGGCTCTGGTTTTGCTAAGTTCTTGACGGCCATTGTGCTATGTGCTGCCCTCTCCGGATCCCTCGTGCTGACTAATTTTATGCCAGATAATTTGACCGAGTTTGGCGCTTGTCTGAGGTGTTGTCTTATCAGTTTCTTCCTCGCTTACTGCTTTACACGAATATTATAGGCGACGAGATGTTTCGTGGCGCCACTTCGCGGGCGCTCTCATGTGACGTAGCGAGGGTGATTCGAACAGGCGACGCGCTAAGCAATCGCGTGCAGTGAAGATGTTAGTTCGAATTTGTGACAATTGATAAGTGTTGATATAGTGAACACAAACAAAAAAGAATCACGTCTTCATAAACTTTTTTTTTTCTTTTTTTACTGAGTTAGTGCGTCTCCAAGCCACTTTTGATGTACACAAACTTTAAACTGTTAAACAACAAGCCTGGAGCGTGACAGGACAGCTTTTGCGACAGCGTGCGCCACGGCCTTTTTTGACCCTCGTTTCGTTGAATCTATGGAGGCTTCTGTAGAAAAAAAATTGGTTTGCAATCATAAGAGTGTATCACGTGGTCTCACCTTAGGTGTGCACGTGCGCGGTGTTGTATTTCTTGACGCCGCATATTTACTTTTGCTAATGAAGCTTGCAGTTACCGTTGCTTCCGCCCTATTGCGGTTCGGCAATTGCTGGATGGAATTCGCACGTCACCGTGCGGGCCAAGACTAAGTGATTTTACTTTTGCAGTGGCGCTTTTGGCCCCCCGCACCGAATGTGTGGCAAAGTAGTCTGCCACCTTGCGACTTCTGCTCAAGGAACAGCTGAAATTCATATAATTTCATAAATTGCCGAGGTTGGCCCGCCAGACAAAGTATTTAATTAATTTGTTTTATACAATTTTTACGAAGGATTGATGGCATATTTGTATACTCTCGCCGCGAAGTGCATCAAAGATTTTTCAAAATTCTTGGAGTCAGCAAAAACAAACACACATAGGCGGTTGTAATTCATAGCATAGTAATTCATACTACGTTGACGTTGAAGTGTCGACGACTTTCTAGGTATTACTGGTCTCGATCGCGGAGGTGATTTTGCACTGTTCGCGCCGACTAGCGATTAAGCACTCATTTAGTTAAAAACACATCGGGAGCCAGCCGCCGCACCTTTTATCAAGTTCTTTCTGAGAACCATTTGTTGACTATTTTGCGAAACGCAAAAAGGCATCAACTTGGAAGTACTAAGTGACCACTAC